ATATATGCTATGATGACAACGAATTGAATGGTCGCTTTCATGTGATTTGATAGTGATTGCTGCTATGTGGAATGACAATGATTGTTGCTATGCGAAATGACAATGATTGTTGCTATGTGAAATGACAATGATTGTTGCTATGTGAAATGACAATGATTGTTGCTATGGGAATGACACTGATTGTTGCTATGCGAAATGACAATGTTGCTATGGGGAATGACAATGTTGCTATGGGGAATGACAATGATTGTTGCTATGTGAAATGACAATGATTGTTTCTATGTAGAATGACAATGATTGTTGCTATGCGAAATGACAATGATTGTTGCTATGTGAAATGACAATGATTGTTGCTATGTGAAATGACAATGATTGTTGCTATGGGAATGAAAATGATTGTTGCTATGCGAAATGACAATGTTGCTATGGGGAATGACAATGATTGTTGCTATGTGAAATGACAATGATTGTTTCTATGTAGAATGACAATGATTGTTGCTATGCGAAATGCAATGTTGCTATGGGGAATGACAATGATTGTTGCTATGGGGAATGACAATGATTGTTGCTATGGGGAATGACAATGATTGTTACTATGCGAAATGACAATGATTGTTGCTATGCGAAATGACAATGTTGCTATGGGGAATGACAATGATTGTTGCTATGGGGAATGACAATGATTGATGCTATGCAAAATTAGAATGATTGTTGCTATGGGAATGACAATGATTGTTGCTATGCAAAATGATGATTGTTGCTATATGAAATGACATTGTTGCTATGGGGAATGACAGTGTTGCTATGGGGAATGACAATGATTGCTGCTATGGGGAATGACAGTGTTGCTATGGGGAATGACAGTGTTGCTATGGGGAATGACAATGATTGTTGCTATGTGAAATGACAATGATTGTTGCTATGCGAAATTACAATGTTGCTATGTGAAATGACAATGTTGCTATGGGAATGACAATGATTGCTGCTATGTGAAATGACAATGTTGCTATGGGGAATGACAATGATTGATGCTATTGAGAATGACAATGATTGTTGCTATGCGAAATGACAATGATTGTTG